AATCCAAAAACAGGTAAGCAAATTTTTACAAAAGAAGGTTCTTTTTATAGTAACGTAGTCAAAAGTTTTATAGAACAATGAAACAATCAGAATTTATAGTTAAATACCACTAAAGAGATCCTCAAATATCTAACTTGGAAAGTAGGCTGGACAGATATTTTTTATTATCTAGATAAGAAACAGAATTAACGAGGCAATTAGTTACCTACTGCTGATGGCACATTGTGTGTATATATTATTGTAATATACAAATGGACTTCATGAAGTTCATAGAAAAATAGCATTATAGTATGTCTCTTTTACTGTACAAAATGTTCAAATCCATGCATAGTTTTTTTCATAATATACATTTTACTATGAACTTTTGAAGACTCCTAGTATTATCATTATCTAGTAGATTGGTGAGACAGGTAAATATTTATTTAAAATTTCATTAGAGTTTTGATTGAAGGAAATTTAAATTTGGAGAAGAGACTTTTTTTAACAGTTCCAAGATATTCATTTTTTCATATCAGTAAGTAAACATGGCAAATAGAAAAAAGAGAGAGTGGTTAATTAGAATAGATTATCTCTCAGTTTTGCCATTAGATTTGGGTAAATGACTTGACATATCTGACTCTTTATACATAAGAATAATAGAGGAGGTAATCTCTATAAAATGGGAATTTTAGACTAGATAACTTCTCAATTTTTTCCTGGCTCTATGCTACTATTTCATATGCACGAGTGCGTGCACACACACACACACACACACACACTTATACTTTTTGATTATAGGGATTTATTACATATAGTAGGAAATATTTGACTAAATAAACATGTAAGGGGCATTTGCAAATAATATTTATTTTCTAATGAGACAGAGATGTTTTATTGGTCAATGTCTGTTTCCCATAAGAAATTTTACTGAAACCTCTCCCTGTTTGGTGTGCTGCTAAAGCCAAGTTGCTAATAAACCTCATGCTGTGAGTGAAAACATCAATTCCCAAGTCTAAAGAGGTTTAGCAAATCTAGGTAGTATGAATAGTTTCCAAAAAGGATGCCTGAACATTTGAATGATTTTCTTTTTTTAAGTATATCCTCTTTACAGTTATTATTACTCCATATAATCAAAGTCTACAGACAGCAAAGCCATGGAGTTCTTGAAAGTACCACTCAGTCTTCAGTGATCAAAAGGAAAACTACTATTTAAAAATATTTTTTCAATGATCTTTGAAAAATAGTCTTTATCTATCTTATACCCTAAAAACCTTTAAGGTATAAATACAATATGCTCTAAAATTCTTTAGTAGTATTTCAGTAATATTTTAATCAATTACCAACTAGTTTTCTTTAAGGAATTATTCCATTTAACTTTATTTATTTATTTAAATTTGACCCAGGGACAGATCGAGAGAGAAAGCAAGCCGTCACCATGTCTAGGACTTGAACCGCAGCTGGCCATGTGGGGGTCCAGTGTCCCCAACTTGTTCTTAAGTATGGATTTAAAAGTAAAAGCTGTGGGAGATTTGTGCAACTTTTCTATGCTAAAACTAATTTATGATGTTTAATTTAAATATCATTTCCAAATCTCATTCACTATTCATAGACTAATGATATAGGCACATAGTCTATAGATAAAGACAAGAAAAGTGGACATAGTAATAGTCAATGTATTTCATCTTGCCTCAAGCCTTATTTCATATCCTGGCTATCCCAAACTTGTGAATTCTTCAAAGGCTATAATGTTTTGATATTTTCAATTCAGATTTATCTTCATAAATACCTACTAAAATTTTTAAGGAAAAAAATTATACTTTTTGTTATATAAGCTTGAATTGAGTAATTTTTCCTTGCATGTTAATTAGGAGTAATTTAACATATGGTTATTAAGTAAGACCTCAACCTATAAAACTGCTCCTGGAAAACACTGGGGAAACTCTGGGAGACAATGGGGTAGGAAAAGATTTCTAAAATAAGACCCCAAAGCACAGTTGATAATCTCCAAAACAGACAAGTGGGATTACATCACACTAAGAAGTTTCTGCATGGCAAAAGACACAGTAATTAGTATGAATAGACAGCCCTCAGAATGGGAAAATATTTTTGTAAACTATGCGTCAGATAAGGGAATGATAACCAGAATTCACAAGGAACTCAAGCAGCTGTTCCGAGAAAAGATGATCAATCCTGTTAAAAGATGGGAGAATGAGCTGAAAAAATAACTCCCTAAAGATGACATATGAATAGCTAAAAGGCATATGAAAAAATGCTCAACATCCTTCATTATAAGGGAAATGCAGATCTAAACAACAATGAGATACCACCTAACCCCAGTCAGAATGACTAAGATTAAAAAAAGAAAAAAAAAAGGATAAGTGCTGGCAGGGGTGTGGTGAACAGGGAAATCTCCTACACTGCTGGTGGGAATGTAAATTGGTCCAGCCACTGTGGAGAACAATATGGAGGGTCCTCA